TATAGGAATAGAATACTTCTTGATCACATGATGTTTTAAGATAAAACAAAAAAAAGTTGGTTCTGGGAAAAAAATAGTTCAGGCCACCTAGTCACCGCCTAGCCAGCGTAGGCGCCCGCCCCACTAGGTGCCCGCCTAGGCCCCAAAATGATATTTGTCATCGATTAGAGCGAAATCGGGGCGCCCGGCCATCGCATAGCGACTAGGCGGCGCCTAGGCCGATTTTTAGAACCATGTTCATGGTATTCTATGGGTGTTGTAGTATTTGTCAATAATAATATGAAATTGTTGACAAGTCCACAAATTCCACTATTACTCAATATTCGTTGTGACATTTATTTGAAATTTGAAACATTGTAAAGGAACCGTTGTGATATCTGTTAATTATAAGGATACGTATTATGAAGATGACCGTCACCATTCACGAGGAAGGTGATCAGCGAGCCCTATCGTAAGATCAGGATAGCGGAACTTGGATTGGTCGTAATCAGGATGATGGTGGTGGGGTCGGTCATGTGATGAGAACGGCGATGACAGTGAGGTTGGTCACCACACATAAGCAGTGTTCATCATTCAAGAAAAGGGAGGATGAGACCGGTCTTGATACAGAGACGACAGTCGCCACTCATGAGGAGAGTGGGTGATCCCAATCATGAGACTAAGGTTACATCATTAGGGTAATAGTAAGGCATAAGTAGCGGTCTGCATCCATGAGAGCGGGGTGGATGAGATCGGTCTTGAAATAAGGAAGACAGTCGTCATCCGAGAAGGAATGGGCGAGCCTAGTCACAAGATGACATGAAGATGATTGGCATTTGGCGCTAAGGGCTAGTCATAACACATAAGAAGCAGTCATCATCCCTGATGAATGAAGATGGATATTCTGAAACCTACCCAAATACCCAATCCCTACACACACAGAGAGAGAGAGAGAGAGATAGGGGAGGGTTCAAATACAAAGAGATATTCCCATGCAAAGTGAGAATAAATCTTGTGCATTCATTTCCACATCTAATGGCTCAAAATGAGCAAAAAATGCACTAAACTTAATCAAAAACGTGATGGCAATTTCGTAAATAAATCGAAGTTTTTTGCCATCGCGAAAAAATGCAACAGAACCATGCAAAAGTGCAACGCGCTGAGGAAACAGTGCAACCATTCGCACTTTGCACGGGAGCACCTCTTTTTATTTGAACTCCCCCCCCACACCCCCCCCCCCCCACACACACACACACATATATATATATATATATATAGTCCCTAAAATAGTCACTGAAATAGTCACAATATTGAAATGTCAGACCCGTATTCCCAAGTTTGTAAATGTCACCCTTTAATTGTCCAAATTGTTGTAAATGTGGTCCTTTGAGGGTGAAATGTACACTGTGGCTGAGCAGTAGATTTCACCCCTCAAAGGACCACATTTACAACAATTTGGACAATTAAAGGGTGACAATTACAACTTTCGAAATACAGGTCTAACATTTCGATATGGCGACTATTTCAGGGACGAAAAGTGCGATTTTCCCTATATATATATATATATATATATATATATATATATATATATATATATATATATATATATATATGAAATTGTCATCGCTCGTTGAACACCCAGCACTTTCGTGCTGCTCTGCAGTAGCCCGTGCGTATGTGAGGCAGCGACGTTTATTCCGGCGCTCACATTGTTTTGCCGCAGCCTCAAGAGAACCTAACTTTACGAGGCATGGCGTGTAACTCAAACAAAAAACTAAACACACACATCGATAAAACAATAGAAACCTAACTTTATTTTCCATATGAAAAAATAAGGAGACAATCATGCAGGGGGGATGAAAAAATGCAAGGAAAGGCTCAACACATGCGTTTAGTAACTGACATATCGTCGGCACAAACCATACATGACCCAGGCCAGCAACGTACAAGCAACACAAGAATAAACCCAAAGAATTCCAAAACTTCAAACCTTTCAGTAGGAAGGAAAAGAACTTACACAATCCACAATGCAATAACCTGCGGGTGCACAACACGTTATCGAGAACCTGAATCAACAAACAAAGAAACCACACACATCAATACAATGTTAAAACCAGCCGGAAACTGGCTTAGAAAAGAAAAAACACCAAACAACACACGATAACAGAGAACCAACACCCTTGCAAGGTCGGAAAACTGAAAGGCAAACTACCCAAAAGACCAACATAAGCCTCAACACCCCACCCAGTAAAAACCAGTGGGAAAACAAAAAACAAATAAACCAATGAACTCAAAGACAAACCATCCTACCACTCTCTCACAAACTTCTGTAATAAACGTTGTAATAGCCTGCTTCATAACACACAACAACACCGCAATAAAAGTGAAAAGAATAAAGTAACTCCCATACTTCCCCCGTGAAATGTGAGCTCAACAATACCCAAACCAATCACAAAATAACAACAGATTACACCCAATTCGCAAAGACATAACTCCCGCTAACAGTTTTCAAACGGTGCATGCCACAAGCAAGCACAAGTAATTCCACAACACCCATATTAAAAAATTACATGCTTTGTAATAACAAAAGTGCAAAAAATGCTAAAAGCAACTCCTACCCTCCCCCCTAAAAAACTGACAACAAGACATCCTTGAACTGGGATACAAACACAGAACACCTTAAAATGATAAACAAAACAACAAAACCACCCAAGGGAGAAGACCGTAGCAAAAGTGCGTAAAAAAATCCACAACTCCACATCCCCAACGATGGTCATCGACCGAAGACGATGTTCGCGGGGTCACGGTGGCCGGAGTGACTTTGGCCATAGTCAATTTGGCCATAGTCACTCTGGCTGGAGTCACCGTGGCGGCGGAATCACTCTGGCTGGAGTCACTGTGGGTGGAGCACTTTGGTCGGAGTTACTGTGGAGGTAGAATCACTTTGTGTATGTGTAGCTCTGAATATTTTTTCCCCTTTCATTTTTTTGTATCCACTTCGATAAATTCTGAATACACATACAACGAAACTTATTTACACTTAAAATTCATCATAAATCACCGCCAATTTGTGTATTGCATAAAACATCTCATAATATGTGTTCTGTGTATTTTTTATACAACCCATTGTATTGAATTTTGTATCACAATCCAAAAATATGCACTCTTGTATTCCCTCTTCTTCTGCTACTTTCTTCAACAAGAACCGTTCGCGCTCACCTACACCACCCGTTCATTGTCCTAAGTTGCAAATATTACCCGGTATGACCAAATATCGGATTCCTCAGTGTGGTGATGATAAGAAGCCATATCGTGGTCAAATGTTTACAAGTTTGAAGGAGGCTATTGCATATTACAAGAAGTACGCTGCAATCATTAGTTTTAAGATCCACCTTGGCACTTCTTCAAAAGCTAGGAATGGCACATTAAAGTTGAAGTATGTCATTTGTAATAGAGAGTGTTTTTAAAGATAATCGGAATAGTCAAACACCTCAAAATGGAAATAGTCATACAGCTCAAAATGGTCTGTTGGTAGATCATAACAACCATGTTGAGGATTCTGGTCCTAAAAATATCAAATACAGAGTATCAAATAGAATTGAATGTAAAACACACATTGAATTGTATTCAAATTGTGGCCTTCGTGGATACTCAGTGTTTGGCTTTGAAGAGCATCATAATCATCATATGGCATCTACTTTAGCAAAATCATTTCTATAGGTTAACAAGCATATGGATATTGGTCATCAAAAGTTCATTATGATATGTACAAAAGATAATATTGGTACCATGAAATGTTATAAATTATTCAAGGAATCTGTGGGTGGATATTCTAATATCGGTGCAATGAGCGTTGACTTTAAAAGGGACTTGAGGGCATACACATTTATTTTGCTATCGTGAAACACTAAGAAGAACCTTCATCATGATCATCGTACACATTTATATTATTCTTAATATTTTAATGTGTTTGTGTAGTTAACAATTAATTCTTTTTCACAGTATTTGATTTGACCATCATGTTGATTATATGTCTTCTCTCTTCCAAATGAGTTGGAATCGGAAGAAACTTAACATAAATTCAATTTAAAAGTACTATTTGGTGGAGATTGAGAAACTCCTTCAATAATTCAAAAGAACCAAAGAAAATTACTACTCTTATGTGATTACATCGGAACAGAGTTGAAGCAAAAGAAAGTGTCATGGTTGATCGAGGAACTTCAAAGCTTGTTGACTTTTGTGGCTGATGAGTATAATGAGTTATTCATGAAATAAAAAGATTTGTCTGCACCAAACAAACCTAGAGGATAAATAATGTATAATGTTGTATCCAATGATATATTAAATCACTTCTTCGTGGATGAATGACTGCGCATTTCAGATTTGCAATTTCATTTAATCTAGATTGAAATCCATCATCGATGATTGTCAGTCCAAAAATGCTATAATGAATGTTGTTTCCAAAAAAGTATATAACAATTTATAGTTCTTTTCTTATGACATTTCTTCAATATTAAATTCTGCAATTTTAATGTTTAAAATATACTTATATGTTCAATAAAACCCTTATGCAATGGGTAAATGCTTCTTCGTGCAATGCAGTGGTGAAATACTAGTAATGTTTTACTAATAATCTTTATTTACTTTTAGCTACTAGTTTTATAAATGTAGAGTTACGTTATTTATGACCATGAAGAATACTACATATTTTCTAAATGATTGTAACTGAGAGAGGCCGGCATGATGTTAAAGTTCATCATCAGTCATGGTAAAACCATTAATTAATCCCTTTAATTCTATGGCAAAATGATCATTTACAAAAACTTGCCGAGGTGACTCACAAAGTATAGAGACACAAATGAAAATTTTAAGGTTTGCAAATCACCACAAAGCAAGGGAGTAAAGCTCTAGGATCAAGTAAAAATAGCTCTTCAAAGTTTGAGTAAAGGCCTTCTCCTCCTACTTTACCAGCCAACGAGTCAAACCCATGTTGACCCATCAATTCTTCAACATTCTCAAGCGGTCTATGTACCCTTCCAGCAATCACTCTGCAAACTATAAGTGCCTTTTTCTTACCACAAGATTGAATAGCTTCAAGCGCTCTACTACTAGTAGAAGACGTGTAGACTCCTACCCCTCCATTAATCTCCTTTTTCATTGTAAATCCATGTCTCAAAATCTGGCAAACGTTACATTTATCCGAAAAACAAATGCTCGGGGAGTCATTCGTACCGAGCGGGCATTCGACGGTCGTGCCATGGAACCTTAGAAGCTCGTTGCCATCAGCTAGACAACGCGCATGTTTGGTGGCTAGTTTGTTAGCCCGGATCTTCACCCTTTCACGATATTCTTCGAAATCGGCTAGTGTCTTTTCCATGTTATGGACCTTCAGGATCCTCTCAATCCCATTGTTAGACCGGCTACTTTTGCATATCATTTCAACAATGTTCCTAGAAGAGTCTCCTTCAACAAGTTGGGTAACTACAAACAGTCGAGACATAGTTGTTAAGACTTAAGAACCCATCTCAAGATAATAAAGTGACACCATGAGTCTTTAAGTTCTTAGAGTAGTTATTCATACTTAACTAGTTGAACTCAACTTTTTCACATAGTTTGACTCAATGTTCTAAAAAGCACTAGGCGCTAGTCGGGCGTCACACCAGCGCCTAGCACCTAGGCGGGGACTAGTCAGAGACTTAGAAATTGTAATTTTATCAATATTTTTGCAGAAGTATGATTAGTAATGTTGTGTTTGTGTGTATAAAAAATAAATACACATATACACATTAACATGCATGAATGATAGAGATGTCACATTTAATAATATATTCTACCTACTCACTTAACTTCATTATGTAAAAAATATTATTAAATAATAATAACACGTGAGATTATATAAATTAAACTTGTATAATTTTTATCTTAATCTACAACTAGTAGCTTTCTTCGTATGTGTTGTTAAAATTAAAGGTACATATATCTCTTAAAATACTAAAATGAAAAGACAAAATAAAATGTTCAACAATCTAAACGCCTAGGCGGCCGATTAAGCACTCTGGATGGACAACTAGGCGCCTTAGGCGGCTGACTAATTCATCTAGGTGTTAAATGACTCAAATCAATTAATTGGAGCGCCTAGACTAAAATCGAGGCGTTCGACCAGCCACTGCCAAGCAGGGGCGGATCTATCAAGAGAGTAGGAGGGGGGCAGCTTCCGCCAATAAAGCACTACTAGACCCTTAAATTTTACTCTGTATTAACAAATACGGAGTATTAAAAGCTCAAGAGTTTACCCCCCATAGAAAAAATTTGTTGCCCCCTATAACTTAAGATCCTGCCCACCAAAGCCTAAAATTGTGTGAATTTGAAATTCAAATTTCACAATCAGTGACTTATGCAAAACGCTAAACCCATTTGACTATGGAGAATTATTTTTGAATAGAATTTAGAGAAGAAACCTTCAGCTGGGAGCTGTGAGCGCAGAAGCAGACTAACGTACTCCCAACTCCCAATAGATTAGTCACACATATGTTCTGATGTTCACTTTATTTTCAATTCGTTGATCAATTAATCAATTTGAATGTTCTATCTAATGGCCTTTGTAATTAGTTTGGTTGTTTACTCAATTACTCACAGGTAATCTGTGTGTGTGATTGTGTAAATTGTGTTGTTTACTTGCTAAAGGCCATACACTAACTTTTTTTTATATAAACATAAATATTTGATAATGTTATTAATGATAACGTTATTAGTTTATTATTATAGGATTATTAACTCACCTAAATGTATGAAAATAGAAAACGTCATTTAGTAAGTTTTTTTATGGTTGTCATTTAGTAAGAAAAAAAATCTAAAAGTAAATAATATGTCATTTTCAGTGATCAAATAAAGTATATTAATGTATTCAAAAAAGATTGGGAAGATTTGAAGACGCTTTAACTCCAAATGATTTGGAATTCAATCAACGGGCTTGACTAGCGGATTAAGTTAGCAAGTTGTGAGAAGATGTTTGATAATTTAACTGTTTGATCATAAAATTAGTAGAAAACACCATATTTCAAAACGCTAACCCAAAACTCTCCAATGTGTAGCATTTCCATTTCAACGTTTTCGTCCAAAAACGTTAGTACGGAACAGCTATTTACCAAACAACTTTTTCATTATTGAAAACACTAAAAGTGGTCAAAGCGCCATTTTTCGGCTGAAACGCTATTTACCAAACTGTCCAAACACCCCCTAAATCAATATTTTATTACTCCGTATACTTTTTTTCTGGCGCATTTTTCAATTATTCTGCCCCCAATTACTTTTTATCATGGATCCGCCACTGCCGCCCAACACCTAGGTGGGGACTAGTCAGGTGCCTAGTGGTATCACGAGCCTAAAAGAATCCTAATTTTTTTCTCCTCTCTCTACGATCGACGCAGCTATGTCGCAGCCGCAGCCCTCCATGGCACCGATATCTACCGCTCCAGTTTCACCGCAAATTTCCGCTGCAGCCCCGCCACTCATCAGTGCAGCCGACACCTCCTCTTCGTCGGTTGTCACGTCCGCAGCTCCGGAAAACACTCCACGACCACCGATGCCGTTGCAGGCAGCCTTCCCCATGACACTGGCATATCCTCCTCAATCCGGTGGCCCTCAATATTCTCTCTTTGAGACACTGCCGTCTCAATTTCCGTGGCAGCATAGTGGTCCCAGTCTTCCCCCGGCTGCTCCTCGACCACAAACGCCAGTCATTTTTAGAACAATGGTTTGACTTAAGTGGCAGAGAATGTTTTCTTATTTTGATGGAGAAATGGTGAAAATTTACAAATTGTCAAGAAATACCACAAAATACCAAGATATTTTGATAACAATTGCAACAGCTCCAAAAGTCGTTAATTTCGTTAGCTTTTCTTAGAAAAACTTAAAAATTGTAACTTTTTTATACGGAGTATATTTCAATTATGTTTTTGTCGCTATTGACATGTATATTGACTAGCCTTTTCCTTATTTCAAAGCAGTGACATTTCTTTGTTAAAAAAAGTAGTGACATTTTGACAAACGTCCATATAGTGATATAGGTACTCACTCAAGAAAATAACATCATATCGTATGTAAATTACTTTTCAATCCGCACGGGTAGCCCAGTTGATTGGTTGAGTGGTAGAAAAATTGAAAGAATGATCAAAGATCAAAATTTGTAGCGGCCGAATGAGGGTTACAATTATTTTGTGGGGAGTCCTTGGGTTTCAGGATACAACCTTTTCAAAAAAAGAAGAATGTAAATAACTCTATATCTATTTCTGCACATGCTTTGATGGACTCAGAGCTTTAGTGTTTCTTTCATACGAAGTAGATTAGAAAGAGTTAATTGCATAAATGGTACCTTAACTATTGGTAATGTTGCATTTTGGTACCTTAACTCTTAAATGAATCAAAACGGTACCTTAACTATAAATAAAGGTTTCGAATTGAGATATTTTTCAAATTTTTGACCAAAAAATCATTCATGACGATCAAAATTCCATGTGTAGAGTCACCCTATAGTGATCATATGGACAAAAACAAGGTAAAGTAGATTTGATGTATAGAATTCTGGCCGTCACATGTGATTTTTTTGTGAGAAATTTGAATAAAATCTCAATTCAAAACATTTATGTATAGTTTAGGTATCATTTTGATTCATTTAAGAGTTAAGGTACCAAAATACAAAATTACCAATAGTTAAGGTACCATTTATGCAATTAACTCAGATTAGAAGTATTTGCACAAACATTTGTGATATTCACTTTTACTTGTATTTACATAATTCTGTGATTCATTAAATTCGAATATCAACATGTAATCATTTTTAAATTTGGGTTTTCCAAATTGTGATTCAGTGTTTGTTTTAATCTAGGTTCTCAATGATAGGTGACAATTATTGGGTTTTAAATTATTAACACTGACTTAGAAATTACTACTTCTTCCCCAAATTGAGTTGCAAAATTGACATTTTTTACTCAAACAAATTTATTTTATTTGTTCTCTTAATTTTAATGATAATTATGATATCAATTTTGAATTAAATTTTAATTTGGATTTTGCAACTATAGATATTTTAATGTAGTTTTTGAATATGTAAATTTTAATTATTAAAATTGATTAAAAAATATTGACTTTGCAAAACAATTTATGAAGCATGTAGTATATTAGACCAGAATTAAATTTGTACCCCTCTGTTTCAAAATAGTCCGTATAGGAATCACCAAGTTCAAGAAAATGATTCTAGGAATTTGAAAGAGTGAGTTTTTGTTATTGTGGGCTTTGTGCACTATCCGGGGCCACCCATGATAGTTTCAAGACCTAGGGGAAAATATATAATGGGTCTAATTTTAAAAAAATATTGAAAATTATTTTTTTGTCTAATCGAATGCATAACAATAATACTTTAAAATTGTAATAATAAAGAAAAGACTTTTATAATTCGTCATACTAAACAAGTAAAATCACAGTTAGAGAACATTTTTGTTACGCGTTTAAATTAATTATATTTACAAATTTATGAAAATCCATTTTTTTACTGAAGAAATTTTGAAACTATCATTGGATGATTTATTTTTATCATCAATCAACCTTAAAATTCACAAATCTCAACTCAATCCAGGATAGAGGAAGTATAAATCTGAATTCGCATTTTCACGATCAATAAGGGGGTGTTTGGATTTGATTCTTAAAACTGTTTCTGCTCCTTCAGGGAGCAGAAGCAGAAGTTGGAGTGTTTGGGTAAAAGTGCAGAAGTGATTCTGGTGCTCTAATTTACTCCTAGAATCAATTTTTTTAGAAGCTGGGTGTAACTAGCTTCTGAAAACAGATTCTGATTCTGCTTCTGATTTAAAAAAGAGGCAGAATCAGAATCAGTTCCAATCATCCCTTAAGTCAACAACTAGATGACTAATCAATTAAAATGTAAATTCAATGAAAACTAAAAGGGTGAAAAGCTATGATAACTGATAATGAAATAAGTAAGAGCATAAATGCAAAATATATAAGGACATAAAAGTAATAAGAGGTATATAGGACTCGAGGTTATCAGAAGCTAGAACCCTATGTTCTAATTAAGAAGGACAAAAGGCTGAAGGAATTTATGTATCCACTATCTACTCCCTCCGGTTCGTATTAAAGTTCTCACTTTCCTTTTAGGGATGTCCCTTATTTAAGTTCACACTTCCATTATAGGAAATAAAACAGTGCAAAACAGTGCCAAACAGTGTCAAACAGTGTCCAAACAGTGCCAAACAGTAAAGTCAAATTTATTTTCTTAATCTGTGTGAAGTCAAACTGGGAACTTTAATAGGAACCGGAGGGAGTATGTTCTGTTGACTATTGACTTGTGGAAGTTTATTATGATGAATTGAAATATTGAGGTTTGAACTTTGAAGGCCTAAATGACAGTTCACTAATAGGCACCAGCCCAAAAACTCAGCCTACTCACACTTAATACAAAGTCAGCTGAATTTTTTTACATATTTTTTAGCCTAGGGCCCCCGTTTTTGCTCCCCCCTATGGCCGCCCTGGCACTATGGTACACTTTAAGCATATTTGGACCTTTTGGTAACTCTCATATTGAGTTTACCGGCTTTACCAATTAACTTTTTTACCAAACATGTAATTTTTTATTTCGCGTACCGAATATGTAATATTGAGTAATTAATATAAGTAAAGTTAGATTTACTTTTTTGCTCAAATTGATTGAAGTTACTGTAGAGAATCATTTTAGCTATTTTTATATAACTTTAATATTACGTATATTTTATTAATAAAATATATTTTAAATATGTTTATGTTATAATTTAGTAGATTCAACCAACTCAACCGCTTCGGCTAAAATTTCATCAATTTCAATGATAAGAAACATAATCTTTATAAATTTGCTTTGTAATAACTTATAGAGTAGAGTATTAGACATGTAGTACTCCGTAGCTTTTTTCAAAAAATGATATGGGACAAATAATTATGAACAATCCATGTCTAAAAGAGAATGAGACGTGTGTAAACGCGTGTAACATGTCAAATATTCATTACTCCTCCGGTCCTTATTAAACTTTACACTTTCTTTTTTGGACAGTCCCATATTAAATTTTACATTTCCCAATTTTCTTTATTTGGCAAACAAATCTACACCAAACAATGCAAAACAGTGCATAATAGTGTCAAACAGTGTCAAACAGTGTACTTTACAGTAAAGTCAAATTTATTTCCTTAATATGTGTGAAGTCAAAGTGTAAAGTTTAACAAGAATGAGAGGGAGTATTCAATTAGAGAAAGGCTAAAGGTATCTTATTTTGGATACTTCATTTTTACCCCTGATGTGTGGTCACAAATAAAGCAATATATTTAAGTGGGACAACACTTTTATGTGCCTCATTTGGACTAATGTGTGGGATAAAAATTTGGTAATCCAAAATGGGTACCTTAGCATTACTCATTTAATAAACTCGATCATTTTTTTTACTATGAATTATTAGGAGTTAACCTTGAACTTACCAGCATGTTTGGAGAGGTGGTGTAATTCAAAAGCATCCCACTTCGAGAACAGCTCACCACATTTATGACAAGTCAAAGCCCGAAGACCAACGTTTTCTCCTCCACAATTCATCTTACGGCCCGACCTCGTTCTGGGCCTAGCAACAATGACCCCAACTCCTCCGGATCCTATCCTCTTTGAAAGCCCACGAGATGATGAAGACCCTGTTCTTGCAGGACTACCCATTCCTACACCGGACCTCCGGGACGGAGCAAAATGGTGCCCCCTGGGAGTAAGGGTGCCCCCCAAAAAGGGCGATGAGGCACCACGGCAGCCGCCATCTCCGGCGGTGGCAGTGATCTTGAGCTCGTAGGTGGAATCATCAAGAACCACCTCATGCCCAATTGGGTTCAGCAGCTCACTGCTGCCAATGGATCTTGGGCTTTCCAAATGCTGGGGAGTCTCGTTATGCCTTTTGCTCCCATGGATGACAACATCCTTGAGGTTAGCAATCGACCTCGAGCAGCCCGACCTGATCGTGGTACTAGCTTTCCGCTGAAAGTTAGTACCCACACTTGAGAACTCCTGGTACGAGCTCGTACCCGGAGCTGATATCCTGCAGAGAGTTTTATGGCCATTGGGGTCATGAACATCTCCTACCTCTGATCTGCATTTCCATGATTTCTTCAAGGAAACCCAAACTGCTGGCATCTTCTTAATTCTCTTCTTTTCAAACCTTAATTGATAAAGCCTCTCCTGGCATGGGAAATCATCACAAATCTTGGAATCATCAAATACGGCTGAGAAGTGAAAACGATGGGTTGTTGAACGAAAGCAATCTTTCGGGCGAGCTCCGTATAATTTAATTTAATGCGTAGTATCATCATTTTATGCATGTGGAGAAGTATCATATTGATCTTTTAGCTAATGGGAACTTGTTTACGATATATGCATACTTCTTCTCCATCCGTCTTTATGATTTGGATCAATATGAGCTTCCACTCACTGTACTACTGACTGTGTTCATATGGCATTTAATGCAGAAATATTAGATTATACGGAGTACGATTTTGATAAATGATCGAAAGAATACGGAATAAATATCTCTTGCCGTATGATTAAACAACTTTTATAGCAGTACTGTCCGTGTTGAGTTTGATACTCTGCTTAACATGAAAATACTATACATAAGAATGCGTATTGATTAAGCTTGTATACTTAACATGAACGTAAGTTATTTAGACATGTTTAATTCGTTGGACCTGTTTTGGTCCCCAGACCACATTTAAGCATAATTGACAAAAGAAGAAACACTAGTCCAAATAAAACTAGATCATCAGCGATATATAATGATGTCTATTCGTACCACCGTCGAAAAAAAAGAATGACACTACATTCCTGTGGACCCCCAAGAACCTACTTCACAATTTTCTAGGAAGATTAAATTGGGGTTTGATCTCACTTTGATGGAAAGATAGTGAAGTTCTATCCCAAGTCATTGATTGATGTTGAATTCAGGATTTCTCTATTATGACACCTCCTTCATACTAGATGAGCTACGCCCCTCAATTACGTATTTACGTACCATCCTCCAAAAATAATACGAAGTGCTTCCTAGTTACAACAATTTTGGGCAAGTAAATTCAGATAATAAGATAAAAATCTAAACTACTCATTTCTTTTACTATATCAGTAAAGTTGGAATAACATTTATTTTAGGGCAGGTAAAAAAGTAAATAAGTAACTTTTATTTTGGGAAGAAGGACTACTAATTACATAGAAATAAGATAATAAGTTTTTTTTTTTGCATAAAAACTTGTCTCTATTCATATCATAAGTTTCATGATCATTACATCAATCAAAGGAAAAACAAAACCAACACCAGCTAAACTCCAACAACTACGACTGAAAACCCTATGATCAGACTTTGAGATAGTCACCCTTGAAAGAACAACACGGATCGCTAACCATGCAGTAGGCTTGACACAATCATCCATGTTCCCATAGATCCAAACATATCCATTGACATAAAAAAGACTAAATTCCCAAACAATACGGACAAACCTAACAACATAAACGATAACAAGAAACCAAATGACAAAATAATAATAACTAATAGGAAAGCTTTCACAGACTCTAGCACCTCATATGACCCATGACGGTGGTTCATGAGAAGGCCATATCATTGGTACCACATTAATTGATCCTCCATAGTCGATCAAAATTTGGTCTATTCGAAGCCCGTGCAACTCTCCTCGTCCCACGCACTTGTTGGCTAGGCTCTCCACCGATTCCCCTTCGTGCTCACGTTCCTCCCCGTGCATCTTCATAGTCTCGCCCTTCATCCTTCATGCTACCACATACGTCGAAGCAGGCCAATCGACGCTTTGTTGCTTCGATAAAGAAAACGCTGCACGATGACAGCAAACTCTCAAACCCTAAGCTAAGGGAAAGACTGAGGTTAAATCACATTAATTATTCTATTGTTAGAATAGTTATTACTATTACTTTATTTACACCTTACGTCCGATTTAATTTGTCCTACTTTCATTTTTATGTTCAATTTAATTTGTTGTACTTTCCTTTTTGGATTGGACTGAATTAACCGATTCGATCATTGTCAAACGGGCTTTAATTTATGGAAGGATAATATCCTTCATTAAATCATACGGAGTACTATATGAGCTGTATAAGAGATTCACTAATTAAATAAACCAATAAACAGTGATTTTCAAGGATGACACTAATTATCCCAGTTTAGAAAATAAAAATATGGAATTTCTATTATCCCACATTTTTACAATTTCATTTACTAGAACCAAGCTTATGAATTAACGAACGGTCGATATGATACGACCTTCCAACCTGTATCATCAAAATGGAAATATAAATAGATGGATAGCTACCACTCATGGAAGATGGTCCCGTACAGGCTTAAAGCCTTCAATGTTTTTTGGGTCAGAAGCCTTTAATGTTTAACTACCTGTGGCCTGTAACTCTGCAAGTTTAATTCGGCCACCTTAAATGGCCTATTTGGTTCCTGGCCCGTTTCCCATATTTGGGAATAATTGCTACAATAAGGCTAACCATAACCTACTTCTGTCAATAAATCAAATTTCTCATTATTATATATATTCACTCAATCAATTTATTATTTACAATAATCCGGCAAAATCAATATATTGACTCAGCAAAAGCTTTTTTAATTAAATTCTTGTTTTTATTATTATATTTCAATTATTTTAAAAAAAAATTCGAAATAATAATGATTTAAAAAATCAAACATTTCGATATTAAAATAAATAAATTTGAAATTTAATTTTAGTTGCTCTTTCATACCCATTTTTGGAAAATCAAGTGAAAGATGTAAAAGCAATATTTTGATCATGAAATCTTAATTTTAGCACTTGTTAAAAAATTGACAAAAATAATCCCATCTTTCACCGGTCTTCTCATTATAATCTCACTTTTGCACTCAATCTTCTTTCGTTGGACCCTGACCTGTTGATGACCTACTATACCAGGTTTTTCACTGTATCTTTGAAAACCTTATATAAATAATCTCACATTTCACAAATCTGCTCAAAATGGTCTCATGTTTCATTTTTCTTTTTTATCCCTAAAATTTTGAAATAATTACATAAATATGACCAAAATAAAGATGATTCACAAAAATATGACTAATGACTAGAGTAGTAATGAAATCATAGTAATTAATGTGCAAATTTTGAGCTTAAGTTACTACAACACTACATTGTAGTAATGAATAGTCATATTTATGTAAATATGTTTTATTTTAGTAATATACTTGTAAAAAACCCAATTTTGTATTTCTTTATTTTTATCCTTAGACACTTTTTATTACTTTTCTATCCTTTTTTTCTTATTTCTTTTCTATTTTTATTATTATATTTCTCACTCTATTAGGAGAGTTTTTTTGTAAGATTTCCCTTCAAAATAGTTCTTTTTTGTCGTTTTCTTTTTCTTTCTGTATTTTTATTTCATTTCCCTTTTTATGTTTTTCTTCTTAATCATTCTCTTCTTATTAAATATCTTTTTCTCACTCTACTATTTGTTATATTTTTTTTTCAGTTTTCTCCTTTTTTCTTCTTGTTAATTTATTTATGTTTTTTCTTCCTTCTTCTTTTCTTTCTTCTTGTTATCTAAATTCCACCATCATTATGTTTTTTCTCCTTTCTTCATTATCATATTTTTCTATGTAAATCCACTCATTAATTCAATTAATTGTGGGAAAAACTCTATGTGATAAAAAGATTATGGAAGAATAAAACATCTAGGAAATGTAAATAAAAATAAAACATTCGGGAAAATTTTATTTTTTCTTTCTTTCAATTTCGTGAATGTTTTATTTTTCTTCTAATTTAATTTTTACCTAATCCTTTTGTCACATAGAGTTTTTCACATAGTGGATGGAATTAATGGGTGCACTTAATTACTTAGAGAAATACAATAGTGCAGAAATGAGAAAAAATATATTGATGATGGAATTAAGATAACAAAAAGAAAGGAGAAAAAACATAAAAGTAGTAACAAGAAGAAAAAATGGGAAGGTGAAAATAAAAAGAAAACATAACAAAAAATAGAGTGGGAAAATTAAAAGATCTTTAATAAGAAAAGAATGATCAAGATGAGAAACATACAAAGGGAAATGAAATAAAAATATGGGAATAAAAAGACAATAACAAAAAGATCTATTTGGGAAGGATATTTTATAAAAAAGAAGTGGAGTAAGAAATAGAATAATAAAACTGAAAAAGAAGTAAGAACAAAAGTATAGAAAACGGAATAAAAAGTTTGCAAAAGAAAGAAAAATTTTAGTGTGAAAAAAGAAAAAATGAAATATGTGACCGGTTTTGAGCAGATTTGTGAAAAGTAGGATTATTTGTGTAAGGTTTTTAAAGAAAGGGTTAAAAACTTGGTATAGTAAACCATCAACCAGTCAGGGTCCAACTAAAGAAGATGAGATGCAAATGTGAGATTATTCTGGGATTACGTAAAGGTGGGATTATTATGAGAAGACGAGTGAAATGTGTAATTATTCTTTTCAATTTTTCCTTCAAGAAATTAAAGATTTTGGGTCTCAAAAAGTTCGACAGTTAAAACTTCATATATTTTTTTTTAAATAATTCATATGCAATATTAATGTATATGAAAGAATAAAAAATTTGCAAAATTCTGGTAACACTGGTAATACCGAATCTTCAAAGTTTGGGGTGTTTACCTCACACCCCTTCAGTATTACCAGTTTATTCCATGCCAAAAGATTTCCTAGCCTTTCTCTCAAGGAGATCTAACCGTTCTTTTGACAAAGAGAAATCACGTGGAAACCTAAGGTCAAAGATTATCACCGCTAGGATGGAAGATCTATAAGTTCTAACTCACATTTGTTATTGTTAGTCCCTGTTTCTTTAACAGCAATGAATAATCGATCTAACAAGGAAGATTAAACGTAAAGATGAACACAGAATGAATCACCGTAAAACCTTCTTTGATAAACCGTGGACACGTACAACAGAATGATATGCGTAAGGCTATGAATAATAAGTACGACGTTCAACCTATTCCTAAACCTCGGCTCCCTTTTTATAGGCGAGGTTTAGGTTAGGCGTACCAGGCTTTTAGCCTACCAGGCTTTTAGCCTGTTTATATGGGCCTAACACTTGGCCTGATTTCTATCTAGTTCATGCACTAATTAAATACAAGGATTAAATATAAAGCTAATCTATGACCAACTTGATTCACAATTAAATATCTCCAACAATCTCCCCCTTTGTGATCAAGTGCCATTCTCTTATTGCTTCTGAGACTTGAAGTAGTGCTTCCTCATACCAAGTGCATGTTCATACTGCCTCAGCACATTTCTCTTTTCGAGGCGATCGTCAATGGCCTTTAGAATAGTCTCTACTGTAGAGTGTTCCTTTTGAACATAGGACGATGCCTCTTGAAGATTTTCCTCTAGCTTTGCATTCATCTTTAGAATCTGCTCTTTGATTATCTTCAGTGTTCCGTCACAGTACTTCTCAATTTCACTGACTACCATCAGACGCTTTTCGTTCTTGTGGTTCAGATAGGTGACTGCTGGCGGTGTGAAGAAGATGTGGTAGGCTGGGAAATCTTCAAGTTCTGGACCATACAGTCTTGGCTTTGTCAGATTTGTCTTCTTCAGATTGCACTCAATAGCCATCTGTAGGTCATGTGAAGAGTGTACTCGGATTTGTCTAAGCATGAATCTCTTGATAGCTGCGAGGCCTTCACTGTATATTATGCTCTGCCTGACTGGAAGGTATCTGTAGGCCATGAACATTTGATAGATGTCATCCGGTTTCAGCATGATGAAGTCGTTCCCTTGACAAGTGAATTCGCTCCCATCGGTGCGTTGAAGTCTGTAAGTGTAGAATGTTACTCCATGATAGTCTTCAGCCTTTACTTGTAGAATTTGATGAATCGGGAGAATATTCGACTTCATATCTTGTTCCATTAGTTTTCTCTGTGTACCGGTTGACCTTTGTAGCAACATATGCAGATGACCTCCAGCCTGCTTTCCTTTCAAGTGAGTAAGGCCTCTTAGCTTCAGTTCATTCAGTGGATTGACTCTGTCTGGTCTACGCCAGATATGCTCTCTGATTTCTTCTTGGAAGGGGGCTTTGATACGAACATTATCCCAGGGTTTCTCTGTTTTGGGAAGTCTTCCCGCTGTTTGTCTTACAACCGATTCAAGAGTCTTCTGGGATTCTTTGTAATTCTCCCCTTCCTTGCGTTCATCGTCCTCGAGCCTTATAATATCTTCAGAGCATTTGTTGATTAGCTCTCGTAGCCACCAGTTTCTTTGCATGTCCTCTTTTTCGGCCTCAACCCGAAGATCATCCCATTCTGTCCATTTTCTTGGCCATTTGTCATATATCACCGCCTCTTCCAGTGCATCATGGATGTCTTTGCCTGGGGAAATATATGGAATTCTTTGTTCAGACGGTGATTGTTCCTGTGTAGCACTACCGGGTTCACTAGGATTGCCCGTTGACATCAGCTTAGAACTGGGTTCCAACTGATGGCCTGATGGAGAAGATGTACCAGTGGTAACATCATCAGGACTTCCATCCCCTCCTCGGTTGGTATCTCTGGGAGATACGCCTCGGGATGTTATTTCTAGCTCGACCATGCTAGCTAGTTTGGCTGTGGATGGTGGCTGTTGGTTTGTTGAGGTTTCAGGTTGGATTGGCTGTGGAGTTTGGCTTGGTAGAGCAGTTTGCTCAAGTGATCGAGGTCGCTTGTTCTCCCCCTCATGAGGATCCGAATCATCGGGGTCCTCATGGGAACGTTTGCGACCACGAAGACTCTCCTTGCAAGTGCTCTTGGTTTCGGGTGAAGAGAGAAGAGCTTCAAGTATGGCTTGCTGATGAAGAGTGAGCTTGTCTTCTGGGATGTTTAAGAGGTTGTGCAGCAAAGCCGAAGCTAGTGTGTCAAAGGACAGTGAGAAAAGATCGATGGAGGGTGTGGTCGGGTGTGGGGAGAATACTGGTTCTGTATCCTGGGTTCCCCGAGAAATAGAGGGAATGGGAATTTGGTTTATGGACTGGTGGGATAGAGGGGTGGAGGATATGGGTTGTGTATGGGAGATGAACGGTTCAGGGGAAGGTTGGGGTGGTGTTTGTTCAGACCGAACCGCTTGGGTGGTCCTAAATTCCTGTGCTAGAGCGGTCATTGCATCTTGCACCCATGGCTTAATGGTGGAATCCAGGAAGCGATTCAGTAGAACGTTTACATCTTCAAAGGTAGGGTGACCAGTTACGGGGGTTGTAACTGTTGACACAGCATCAGTGAAGATTGCTGATGTGTGGCCTGCATTTAATGATGGAATTATTATGGGCGTAGCAGGGCTTCCAACCGTCATAGCTTGCGCTCTGGTTGTTGCGTTCAGGGTGAGTGCACCTGTATGTGCAGTGAATAGTGTAGGTGTCCTAGAAAATGAAGAAAATGTGGGGAATGTGACACCTAGACTCGATGTGTGTGAAGAAGGGGTTTTGACCTCGGGAGATAGGTCAATTGTATGCTCAACTGATTCAGAAGGAACCAGCGAGGGGGTTGAGTCCAGTTCTTTTGAAACAATAGCCTTTTGAGAGGCTATCGAGTGGCTGGGAGAGGGCTGTGCATGCGCAGTTGAGCCAGATGCTGCGACTTCTACCCGGGAACCGAAAAGATCGGCTCCTGTGCTTAGGGATTCGGATCGGCTTATCTGGATAAAGGAGTCGCAGCCCGCGAAGATGTGCTCGTCTGCCTTATCAAACAGGCTCTTTTTGGCTCGGGGCTGGAGCTTGGCCCTGGCAGCCTTGTCATTCTTAACCTTTGCCCTGGTTTCTCGGATGACGACTTCTTCCGAGTTGAATGATGCCTTAATGGAATGAGCTGCCTCGTCGTAATCATCCTTGGAGCAATTTGTCTCGCTGGGATCGGCTCTCGGTTTAGCTCTTTCTTTGATCGTGAAGGCTTGAGGTCTGCCAGCTATAATTGGTGTTGCGTCTTCAGCAGTAATTCTTCTCTTCTTCGGAGATTCGACTGGCAGCTTCCCTTTTCTGATCAGGGCATAAGTGAGCTCCACATCATCACTATCGTTGTCATCATCGTCATCATCCGAGCCAGATTCTCCGCTCTCCGTGCCCACGCTCTTGGAAGCCTCGTCGTCAGTGTTTGTTTGGGCTTCACTTGACGATTCATTGGCCGTTTCCTCAGCGTCTTTTTCGGTGCCCTCAGCCGCCTGACTCGTCTCAAGAGAGTCATCAGACTTTCCTTCATTGGGCGAACCGGCCACTGGTTTCTGTGGCTTTTGGGCTCTCTTGGGACCCTTACTCACACTCGGCTTTGTCCCTTGGGTAGGTCCAGCTGGGTTTTGCTGAACCACAGGGACGGTCTTCTCTGTGGCTTCCTTGTACTGCTGAATTGCAGGATTTGAAGATTTTACAAGGTTGAGCAGAAACCCAGGGATCCGCAGACCGTAGGTAGGGTTCTTGTCTGCTTTAAAGTATTGCAGCTTTGGGGCTTTGTAGTGTGGATCGGAGCTGCGTTTTGGGATTGATGAATGCTCTGCCATGCAGTCGTTGATGATCAGCCCAAGCCACCTTGCATATGGGATGGTACCTGGCCTATTCTTTTCTTTGGCCTTGACCAGGTCCATTAGCTCTGAGAAGAAGAGCTGTGCCAAGTCATAATGTTTGTTGAATGCGATCCCGTGGAAAACCAGCAGTATTTGCTTGTTGCATTTGTCGAAGCCAGCATGCTTTGGCGACAAGCATTTGTTCACCAGTCCAAACAGATTCTTCCACGGGTGTCGAAGATAGGCGCCGTTGAAGTTTGACAATTGTGGCAGTAAGGATGTGTATCCTAGTGATGCTACGTCCTTCAGTAGATCAGAGATGGACGGCAGCGCATCATATGTATCTCGGACTGACAGCGCTAATGTAGATTGCAGTGTTGATGGCGTCAGGATCACGCGCATGCCATTCAACTTGGTCTTTATTTTTGAGCGATCTTTCGGAGATTCAGTGTGCATGTGCCCCCAGAACTGTTGTAGGTATATCTCAGGCACTGGTTTTGAGTTGTGAAGTGCAGGCCAGAGATAGTGACCTTTCATGATAGCTGGAACGATCGGGTTCTGGCATTTGAAGACTGCAAGGTCTAGCTGGAAGTTGTTGTCCAGCACTTTGATCCATTTTTCTTGAGAGTAGATGGCATCATCGATCTGTGCTTTTGTGTTTCCTGCCATTTTAAACTAGGTAGTTGTTAATGGTAAACGGGAGATGGAGTTTCGCGAAATTGGTTTGAGGAGAAGAAGAAGGAGAAACGTTGAGAGCTCTGCCTTGTGAAATCTTTTGTCCTTTGTAAAAAAACGGAATGGAGGATAAGGGTTTTCGCGAGGCTTTTATACGCGAGGGAAAAATTTTGGACCTCCTCCCTAACAGATGAGCCCGAATGATTGGGCTGGCACACAGTGCCCTTTTAAAAGATTTCGAGGCCCAAACCAAAAAAATAGAGAGCTCCCCCTTTATCAGTGAAAAAAAGCTCCCCCTCAAACAGTAAAAATTTTCTCCCCCTCAACGAACAAATATGTACAAATGCAACGCACACACACTATTTTTTGTTCTTTTTGATTTTTCACTCACACTCAACACATGCAACACACGCACACTATTTTTTGTTATTTTTCTGGTTTTCTCCCCCTCAACACATGCAATGCACACACACTATTTACAAATCACACGCACACACACTTTTTACAAGGCCCACACACACACACTTTGCTGATCAGTGGAGACATAATTAAACAGGCTCGAGGTTCAACATGCCCAACTTGGAGACTAGGAACTGGAATCTTTTTTCATCCAGTGCCTTAGTGAACAAGTCAGCCAGTTGAAGCTCTGAGCTTACAAAATACATGTCTATGTCTCCTTTCTCCACGTGATCCTTGATGAAATGATAGCGCAGGTCGATGTGTTTGGTGCGGGAGTGATGAACCGGGTTGCTGGTGATGGCGATAGCGCTCTGTGAGTCACTGTAGATCGGGATATGGCGGAGAGTGTAACCGTAGTCCTTTAGCTGGGTCTTCATCCATAATATTTGTGAACAACAGCTAGCAGCCGCGACGTATTCTGCCTCGGCCGTAGATGTTGACACACAGTTCTGTTTCTTGGAAGACCAGCAGACTAGCTTATCGCCCAAGAATTGGACGGCTCCCGATGTGCTTTTGCGGTCCATCCGGCAACCAGCAAAGTCAGCATCCGAGTATCCGACTAGGTCAAAACCTGAGTGCTTGGGATACCAAAGGCCTAGATTCACAGTGCCTTTGAGGTATCTCAGAATTCTTCGAACAGCGGTCAGATGGGATTCCTTCGGATTTGCCTGAAAGCGTGCACATAAGCATGTGGAGAAGACAATGTCAGGCCTGCTTCACGTGAGATATAGCAAAGATCCAATGATGGCCCTGTAGTTTGTAGCATCAACTGGCCTTGCCGGAGGGGTCTGAGTCCAGTTTGTTGTTTGGGGACATGGGGGTCGTCATGGAAGATTTGCCATCAATGTTGAATCTCTTAAGCATTTCCAGAATATACTTGGACTGATTGATGAAAATGCCGTCAGAGAGTTGTCTTACTTGCAGGCCTAGGAAGAAATTCAGTTCGCCCATCATGCTCATCTCGAACTTGGTTTTCATCAGTTTCTCAAAGTGTTTGCACAGACGTGGATTTGAGGAGGCGAAGATAATGTCATCAACATAGATCTGAATCAGGATGATGTCAGACTTCTGTCGTTTGATGAAAAGTGTGGTATCAATCTTCCCTTTTGAGAAACCTGAGTCAACCAGAAATTCGGTTAATGCATCGTACCAAGCTCTTGGTGCCT